TTAATTCTTAGCAGAATCCAGATATTAAATGATTATAATATACCAAATATGACATATTGTAGACAAATACTTAGGGAAATTGACAGAATTAAAAGATTTCGACCAGAATAATCAATTTCAGGACTCCTGATTTTGTTTGTTTTTTTCTGATATGGGGTGTTAAAAATCAAGGCACGCACGGTTGATAAACATAGAAAAAAACGTGGAATGGCCTTATCCAATAAGCCAAAAACGTATATTACACTTTCTGCGTCCTGTGCTGTTTTTCAGAGCTTTTGTGAATGATGAACTATCCGAGGAAAATGAAATGGTCATTTCAGCAAAAAAATACATTTTTGAATTGATTTTGTTTTTTATCAAACGACGTATGCATACAAATTTAAGAATATTAGTTAAAGAATTAAAATTTGTAGGCTTGAGTTTTGTGATTCAGGGAACATTAAAATGTTTAACATGATCAATTAATATTTAATATACATATACAGTATAGATAACATTTATTACATTCGAAGAGTATTTTTTATCGCATTGCTTACCACATGACATATCACTGGAATTAATAAATTAAATGCATATATATCAATTTTATGTGCTCTCTTAATACTTTATCGTTTTGCCGAAAGAGTGAAAATGAAATTGGCCATACAGTACCTGGTCGAAAAGGTGACATAGCAACTTGGAAGCGGACGAACTTCATAGTTATACCAATTCAATACCATAGTTATTCCAATTTAAATGTCCTGATTTACTGCAAGCCTCTCTTGGTTTTAGGTCATTTTTATTTCCCCTTCATGAAATGGCCGGGGCATATAGTGTTACCCTGTTGTCATTCCGTTATCATTCACTTTCCGTTCATTATCTCTGCAACAGTTGCACACACTCTTACGAATACGTTATAGGAATACGCGGTTTGATCATGGTCCGATGATTTTTGACAGAGTTATCCCTCTTGAAATTAGAAAAAATAAGAAATTTTCAGTTTCCGCTCTATAACTTTTGTAGGGATGTATGTAAAAGATTGAAATTGCATATGCAGGCATTTTACTAGAAAATACAGGTCAAGTTCCAGGCACGTAGTATCGGGGGGGGGGGGGGATGCCCCCCCCCTTTTTTCCAGACATGCTTTTCTATAGGAAATGTTCATTGAAAGTCTGGTCCCCCCCTAATTGTCAAATAAGGGTAATATAAGCGGAATGCAGTGTTTGAGTAAAAAAAATTGGTACCAAAAGAAATTGGAATCTAACCCACCCACCCCCCCCCCCCCAATCTGATTAAAATCAGATCTTTGTTACGCTCCGAAATTCTGATGGAAGAAATTCGAATTAGCCAATATCTATTTTATTTGAACTATTTATGTCAATTTGGTAGTATCGTCTAATAGACACTATATGGTAATATTTTTTATGCAAAAAGATAAACATTTAATCTTTTGAAATAGTAGAAGGCATCGCATGATTGGCAACGGTATTGTTTTTTAATTCTTTAGGTCAAAGAAAAAGATAATGACCTTGACCTGACCTTGCTTTTAAAATAAAACGGACAAATTTAATCTAATTGATACTATCACTTCACGATAATGTCTTCTTGAAACTATGAAAATTTCAAAAATTTTAAAAACAAGAAATGTGAGAAGAATCCCTCCTTAAGAAAGGGTTGTATTGTAACGGTGACCCAACCGCTGGAACAGTTCGCTCAAGAACACTCAGATTATCTATCCTACGATGTAGTCTGTAACAACAATCGTGAAAAAATACAACCATGTAAGTAAAGCTTTGTTGTAGAGAATTTCAGCATATGGAATAGAGTAGATTGATTTGTGAACTTTTCCTTAAATCAATGATACGATTTACAATAGACAATTGACAAAGTCTACTTACATCTATTAATGATGAATCGTAGATAAAATCTTAGCAAGCGACTGTCACAGGGACACCTGATTTGACTAAGTACTCGTAACGATTGATCTCGAACCTCCAATTCTATGTTTTTTTATGTACCAGTCATTTTTCATGTACCAGGATTTTTCATATGGAATACATTGTAAATGTGTACCAGAAGATTAATTTATGAAAGAAGACAAATAAAAAATATCCTTGGACCCGGGGTGTATATTCGAGGGGGGGGGGGATCCTGACCACAAGCACCTGTGTTTGAAAAGCGAGAATTAAAAACTGTAAAAGTGTGGAGCTAGGCGGATTAGAACCATGACTCTAAGAAGTCAATTTAGTGTCAAAATGCAGCAGTCTAACCATGTGGGCTATTCTGACTATGACAATAGTCGTATATAATGTCAAAAACAAGTTTCCTTATTTTTTATAGTTTTTATCTTTTTATTTTGTTGTTGTTGTTAATTTCGACCCTAGGACAGGGTTGTCCCAAAAAATTCCATCATGAATTATTCCTGCTTTTTACGATGAAATTGTTGTTTTAGCCAACTAAGAAGGTTAATTTTAAAATTGCGAATAACAAATTTATGGTTCAAAATGTAAATTCAAAAAAAATATAATAATAATAAAATAAAATAAAAAAATATATACGGCAGAAAATAAATAATGAATATTGCTTTTTGGAATGTGACTCTTTTTTTCGTGAAATTGTTCTCTCCTTTAGGCACACGTAAAATGTTTTGAAAATCCGAATACATCCCTTTTGTTTTTTTTTCTCTTATTATTAGTATACTACTTAAAATAGTCTTATTGTAATGTATAACTAAGTTATATAGATGTTTAATGAATAAGGACTTAAGAAATCTGAAAGGAAATATCTAAATTTAGATATGAAATTGATGCTGTATATTTGGAAAATTTTGAAAAAAAGTCATTGATAAAATTACTTTTTTTAAATTCATCTCAATACAATGAAATCAGGGCGCCAATTAAACAGTTCTAATCAGATCGCGTTTTTTTTTCATGACGGTGAGTTTTGATGTCGCACAGTGTAGCAATGACTAATTTGTTGCTCTAGCCATGTCATTGTATACAGTACAACAATATCTTTTACAATGCGAAAAATATGTATTGGATTTGAAGTGTTCCAATTTCAAGGACAGATCTAGAGGCGGCGATATTCATAACACTTTGTACATACTAATGTCTCAAACACTGTTACTGCTTATACATGTACATGACGTAATTCAAATTCATGCAATTTGAATGCTCTAAACAGAATCCTGGGGTTCTTTTGAATAAAATACACAATGTTTAACAACTGACTCTATAAATTATATCTTATAAAATAGCAAGTTCCCAGGCATTTGAAAATCACAGGCTCACGACGTTCTTCTGCTGGGTTCTTATTCATTGATTTTTGAATGCTCTGTTTACTTTGGTCGTTTATACTTGGCTGTGCTTTTGTCAGATTTGTTTTATTTGTAGACATTGTTATGAAATAAAAATGTCACTTACAGACTTACCGAGGAGCGGTAAATCATTTATAGGTAGCAATAGCACGGAAATGAGTTGACGGTTTCTAAATTTGTGAAGAATACAACCTTGAAAGTACACATCTTGAAATAATAAAATGTTTGATTAATCATTACAACGAAATTCAAAAAAGTAAAATTATTATAAACCAAAAATTCTCTGATGCAATAGTCAATTTTCTAACCGCTGTAAAAAGCTTTAAGGAGGAATGCCACACCAGAATTTTATTTAATAGATCTTTAAGACATCCATTTTAAACTATGGTTTCAGCATTGAAAGACCGATATAAACTCTTAATTATTTTATACATTGTTTTTTGCATTTTTTCAGAGAAAATGAAAAAAAAAATGTTTTATTAGCAAATAAGATACTTTATGGATTAAAATTTGCTGTTGATAAATGCATAATATGAATATCTAATAAAATATGTAAAAAGTCTAGATAAACATTTTAATTTTTTAAATAAAATAAAATATTTATGAAAATAAACACATTATTTGTGAAATTTTTTTAAACCTGTCAGCTTATTATCTATTGTTGAAATCCAGATATAACTCTGTCAATCTCAAACAATTTCTCATTTTGTCGAAATGATGACACCGAATTGAAATTTACCGAGAATAAGTGCAGTATAAATGTCATCTTGCAAATTTATTCAGTCTTATATATGCGACACCGAAGTCTATCACCTGCCACGGGAATTTCTTGTTTTTAATTTGAAAAATAAAATATTATAGTTTTACTACGATCGAGACATAATACAAACAGTAATAGTATCACTCGGAAATATAAACAAAAAGGACCGCATTTGACCTGGTTCTGGAGATAACTACGGCGATTATTTATAGTTGTAGGTAAGTGGAATGTCAATATTGGCCTGTCCCCCGAGGCTAAATCACCCCAATTTCGTGGATATCACACATAATGAACTTTTGACTGGAACTAAATGGTGTATTGGGCATGTGGAGGTACGTTTTAAATTGGAAAAAGTAAGTTTTATCATTAACACTGTTTGTATTATCAGCCAATGAAAAAAGTTCTACAGTAACTTATTCGGAATGTTTGTAAATTATCCATTACATTCGATTAAAAAAAAAAAAAAAGAACCGTCATTTTAATTAAACAAAGTCATCTAAAACTTTGTCTCGGTAAAGAAAAGTGATTGAACCGGATGCACGTGCAGAAAACAGGTAAAACGCACGTTAATTATGATAATTAAAATACTGACAAGAGAGCTATATAAATGTAGGTCAATTTCGTAGCCGCAATTCCCAATGCTCGAGGGTAATTCTTTCTTACATGTTGCTTTCCTTATCACTAAAATATATTGAGATCCTTGTATGTCAAGGGGGGAATAGGTGTAAATCAAGGTAACCTGAGCTTGTAAAATTTATTGATTTTTATTGCAAATTTTCAACTAGTTTTGATATTCATTTGAATTTTCGCTATCATTTAATTCCCCTTCTCATTAAGAAGCACCCCACCAATTAATAGGGAATGTACTTTAAGCGCATTATCATTTTGTTTATTAAAAATATCAAAATCTTTGCGCTCTTTACGCAAACCCTGGAAATAATTCTAATTAATAAATTAACATCGTCTGACATGCCCTGTGACTAATTTCTATACGGCAGTAAAGTATTTTATTTAATATTCCTAATCACAAAACGTGCATTTGTCAAATATGACTAGTAATATAGGTGCATCTAATATATTTCTATAGCACAAAAATAGCGCGGTATAAAACGAAAAGTCACAGCAATTCATGACAGCGACATCATTCACACTCTGTGCACCTGTTAAATACCTGTCATTTTCTTTTCTTGACTACAGTAAAATATAAAAATGGAGCTCTGGACATATCTTAGAGCATGAAGAGCGCCATGAAGTGAAGTTGAAGATGGCGGACAAAAGCCGATACAAAGTGGTTGCGTGCGCATTTTGGATAATTGCTGCTGGAACCATAGTGTGCACGGCTTTATTTACATCGGTCTGTCTGATTGGAATGTAAGTTAAAGTTTTTCTTATAGAAAGAAAAAAAAAACTTCGCTCATCTTTTTCATATCTTTGTAAATTAAGATTTCTACTATAAGAAATCTTTATAAAAAAAAAAACTTTGATCACATTATCATTACATAAGAAATGGGTTAATTGTTTTTCTTCCTTATTTTTTTATTTATATATCTTATTGTACATGAACTCAAACACTGATTAAAAGATTTGTTGAACAAATGAATGTACGTGTATTAGGGTGCTCCAAGATTTAGAATATATATAAATCAATTTTATAATTTTTTACAATCGTTGATAGAACATTTTAGATCGAAGTATAGGGAAGGGTGAAATTATGTCTTCTTTTTCTTCCTAACTATAACTTGGTTTTTAATTGAAATTTCTTTCTTGTTTTTTTTTCTTCATATAATATACAAGAGAAATCAAAGTACAGAATGTACTCCTAGGAGTTGAACATTTCATTGAAAACTTTTGGAGGGAAAAAGTCAATAATATTTGTTTCCTTTTTTTTTCTTAAAAAGTGCAGTTATCTATGGTTGAACATGTACTGCAAACAAAACTAGTGCATAAGAATTTTCTTAATATACAGTATTACAAATACCACGTGCATAAATGTTTTAAGATCCTTCACAAAAAAAAAAAAAAAAAAAAAAAAAAAATCGGGTATTCTAGAGACTAAGGCATTTTACATGTTCGCAGTCAGCCTTTGACCTTCAGCCCCTTCAACCGCTCTTGTCAGAAATAAACTCGTCCATCAAGTTATTATATATTTAATATATAAAAATAACGGTATTAACATGAAAGCTGAAAAAGGCTTTTACTCGGTAACTCAATTTTAAACTGTTTCCTTAACAGATAAAAACGAAGTAGTATGTGGTGTTAAATTTTTCATCGGATGCATATAATTGTGTGTGTGTGTGTATATATATATATATATATATATATATATATATATATATATATATATATATATATATATATATATATAATTGTCAGGTTCTGAGTAAATTGGCTCACGCAGCGCGGATGCTGCTTGATTGCCTTGAGATTGAATATGTAAGTTCAATTTCTGAAGGGATGTAAAGATACAAACCTTTCTGTCCCACATTTCGTATTAAACATTTAATACGACAAAGTCTTGGCAATTATTGTCACTGGAGTAAACCTTGATAAACAATCGCCAAGCAAGTCTAACAAACAGTCCATCGAGTTATAAGGGTCAAAGATGGGTGATTGACTGCAAGGTGAAAATCTTGTCAAGCTAAAAATAAACCTGGAAAACACGAAATAGGTCATAAAATCCCTGTACACAGTTTTTGCATACACAATACTGTGAATTTCTTATTTTACGCGAGTACTTAGTATCGCAAAATGAATGGAAAGGCCATGAATTTGCAAATTGGTTAGGTTTATATGTATTTCAGCACTATAAAAATAAAGCAAGTAATTTTATTTCGCGATTAATACTTCTTGCTAAATTACCGAATGATAAATTAAATTCCTCGCTTATACTTCGGAATCAGTGTATGAACATCAGGCGATTTAGTATAAAATTCCAAATGGTTTTGTAAACTTTAATACTATACATGTACATGTAACTTGAACCAGTATTTAAGAATGAAATGTGAAAATAACGAAAAGTAATATTACTCAAAAGTACTTATCATTTGCAAATTTAGAGCAGAGCTAACATGGACCCCTGAAAACATCATAGTTGAGATCAAGTGGCATGGAGGATTAAGCATCCCCTGTCAACCGGTCTCGCTTACCATGAGCTCCTCCTCATGCTTAGGTAAACAGAGAAATCTGTATCTCAATTCAGTATGAAATAAGGGCTCAAAAATTTGTATGAAAAACGCCAGTCAGCATTCGAGCTAACGATAGATTGTGTGTCAACCAGAGAATTTGCGAAATGTTAACATTAACGAGTTTGTAGATATCATTATATCCTCAATTTGTTTGTCAGTAGTCTGCCTCGATTTAGAATATTTTTTCATAGGTAGAACATGCTTTTGCGTATCGAATCAACTGGGACACATAAACATCATATGCAGGTTATAATAGTTCAATTATTGCTAGCCTACATAAATAAGGGAAGTTGATGATAGAAAAGTTGAAGCCATCACGTATAGTTATTAGTTTGATATCAATTTCTTTCTCAGATAGAACATCCAAATATGAAATAAAGTAAAAGATGCTCTGTGTGGGTTAGGCTGTAGAGTGATTTTATGACCATGGGTTAATCTACTGACATTTTGTGTTTTTGACCATGGGTTGACCTACTGACATATTGTGTTTTTTGACCATGGGTTGACCTATTGACATTGTGTCTTTTATGACCATTGTATAACCTATTGATATTTTGTGTTTTATGATTATGGATTGGCCTCATTTAAAATGAAAAAAAAACTCATCGAAAGGAATATTTTATTTAAGGATAACACAATTATCTTTGAGAACACCCTAACCTCATTAAATGGATTGTCATTTCTTTTCACGGTAAATATTCTAAAGAATGGAGATGTAAATGAAATGGAAGCAAATTTAGTATAAAATAATCACGGGATGAATCATTGTTGAAAAAAATATTACAAATGAAACATGTTTTATCATTTTTTTAATTATCAGAGTTAAAAAAGCAGAGTTTATTCTTTTTAATAGGAGATGTATCATACAGGAAATATCTTTAAAAAGTGTACTGAGTATGCTTTTTAGCAATATTTGAGCCACTTTCAGTAAATTTTTCCCATCTCAAAATGCTCAGCTGATATTTCATCATTATTTTAAGTTGAAGTAGATATCCTTAACAGACTGTATATAATTTGTTTCAATTTAGAATATATGTCGAATTTAGAACATATGTTGGTGGTTGAAAAAAATCATGGTGTCGCCCCTTTTTGTCATTTTTGGCTACATTTTACTGACACTATTAAATATTTTTCAAAATTCATTTAGAAATTGCATTACAGAGATAACAAAGACAGCATCATGTAAAGGACAGCATCATGTAAAAATGGTTTTGTGTTATATACCTATTGTCTTTTATGCAATAGAAATAAAGAAAATGACGTGTCAACAAGTCCGCCTTATGAACTTTAATGACATTTATAATTACATATAATATTGTCACATTATGTTTCAAAATGGCAATGATGTGATGCTGAATACTGAATAAAAGTGTGTTGACTTTAAGTAAAAGGGTCTAGTACTTTGATTGAATGTCAAATGCTCTGACTTACAGTTTATTGTGCTAAGATCTGTTCCTGGAAAGTTGACATTCTGGATAGTTAGGCCCCGAAATAACGAGAATAAGCTACAATAATGACAAAGAGTGGGCAGACTCTTAACGTTCGAGTAAACTTTATTTACGTAGCACAACAAACATGCAACTATTACAGGATGCAGTAAGATATCATTAATTTCCTTAACATTTATAACATAACATAAATATCAATGCAGCAAATTTAAATCAGGGGATAAAATTCAAACCCATTCATTTCATATTTATACAACTTCTAGGGGGAAGGAGAAACGACTTTTCTCATTCAAGTTATGAAATGTTATTTTGCCATCACTTGTTAGTAATCATATTTTTCATCTACATCTATTAATAATTCTACAAAAATTCTTCCAACAATCTGTCAGAATTCCTACCGTACTAAATGCGCCATGTTATTAGAAGTCTTATTTTTGTATTCATATGAAGCAGAATTTATTAAAAAAAAACTTCTGCATGAAAAAAGTCACTTGCTATGGCCACCAATTCAACATTTAAATATATCGATGACATTTTATTTATTAACAATATTCATTTTCAGTCCTACCTTGATTCGATATGTCTTTTTGAACTCGAAATAGAAGATAGCACAAAGTCTAACATATCTGTTTCATATTTGAATATTTAAATTGTAAGAGGTTAATGGTAAGCTAACAACAAAACTACATGATAAAGGCGATGACTGCAACTTTTCTATCGTCAACTTCCTTATTTATGTTGTAACATACCACTATCACCTGCATATAGAGTTTACGTCTCCCAGTTGATTCGATATGCAAGAACATGCACACGCACAAACAATTTCTAAAAAGGAGGCAAGCTATTGAGAAATAAGATGGTGAAACCAGAATATCAACAGTTTCGTTTATAGTCAACATTTTCTATGGTCGATACAATGACCTTGTCAGCAAATACAATCTATCATTATGTCGAATGCTGTCTGCCGTTTTTCAAACAAATTGTTAGACCATTATCTTCACACTGAATTGTCTACGGATTTTTCCGTTTGCCCGATCACAATGACAATCCCGATGACAAGGAACATACGGCGGATGTGACTGGTCGACAGGGGATGCTTACTCCTTCATGGCACCCGATCCCATCTCTAATGTATTAAAGGTCCGTGTTGCTCTGCTATAAATTTGTATTATTTCAATGAGCTTTTGAATTTGGTTACGTTCCTTATCTTCATATTTCATTGAAATGACTTTTTTTATTTGTGACAAGAGTAAAACCGCATCTGTTTATTACAGAAGCGGATGTTGTTCGAGCGGTGCCTGTGGTATATTGGAGACCATCACTATCAGTCTGGTTATTGTTACTCTCATGATGACATTCTTTCATTGCTACAGACAAAAGGTAAAACACAATATTGCGTATCTACATGTGTTTTTTTCTTTTAAAAGTATAGATTACATAACCTCTCGCATTTCATTTGCAATTGACAATAAGCGATTGATAAAATTTACATTATTCAGTATTTCATACATTTTAAATAATAATTAGTTACCTACAATGTAGCGTAATCAGTTTGATTTATATTTTGATGTAACTATTGTAGATTAAACATGCAGAATCCCCTAGTTTTTATGTGGAAACAATGAACCTTTCGTCCGATACGAACATAAATACACGATACACACCACTTCCGGTCAATATTGTTACACAGGTAGAGGAGTATAGAGAAGACTTACTCAAAGCTGTACCGGAAACGGATATACCAGAAGGTGAATATTCACAGAGAAAATATTTGGTCTAAAACACTAGTCCAATCTTTTACACTCTTTATTAAGAATAAATAACATAAACAAGAATTTGATGCATGGATTGGTATATAGATTTTGACTGATTTTGAATAGAAATGATATAAATAGTGTTTTCATAGAATATCAAGATATTATAAGTAAATTTTGGTCTTCAAATATGTGACTGTGTCATTTTCGGTATAACATTTTTTGTATAATATGGTAAACTAACAACAATACTTTATGATAAACGTGATGACTTCATCTTTTCTATCGTCAACTTCCCTTATTTATGTAGCAATATGTAGCCCGCGTGGCGTAGTGGTTAGAGCTTTCGCTCGAGAGTCGCGGAGTAAGGAGTTGATCCTTACATCGCGAGTTCAAATCCCACAGCGGGACGTGGAGACCGGTCCTTCAGATGAGACTGTATATAAACCGAGGTCCCGTATCGCAAGAGCATGTTTATGTACAAACAATTTCTAAAGGGAGGCAAGCTATTGACAAATAGGTTGATGAAACAAAAATAACAACAGTCTCGTTTAAAATCAACATTTCGCAAATTCTATGGTCGATACAATGACCTTGTCAGCAAATGCAATTTATCATTAAGTCGAATGTTGACTGACGTTTTCATACAAATTGTGAAGGTCATGGGTTCAAACCCCGCCCGCGACTGACCTAAGTCGATAAGAAATAGGTAGAAACTGTTCCTTCGCCAAGTGCTTGGCACCTTGAAATGAATGTTGCGGGTCTTTCGGATTAGACCTTAAAAACCAAAGCCCGGATATGGTGACGTATATGACTGAAAAATTCTCAAATGGCACGTAAAACAGCATATAATCAATCAATCAATCAGTCCATGATTCATGAATGTATGTATAAGTTCAAGGTCATCAAAGTTGTATTGCAAAATCTCAAACTTTTATCTTTTTTAATTTAGTTCAGACAGAAAATGAAAAGAGCTTATAGTTTATAATTCATATGTTCCCTGGATGGTATTCAATTTCTTCTCTTTTCTAGTTTCAAATTGTTCCAATATCTTTGCATACTAGTTTTCTTAGTGAATGCGCAGAGGAAGCTTAAATTCTTTCCTCAGTTGACATATATAAAGTTAGTTTAAACGCGTATACTTGTTCCTTGACAAGTTTCCGACTGCTAATTTAAGTTTCCTCGAATAAATGACCATATGGTTCTTATACTTAGTTTGATTCGCTTCCTAGAAATTTATTTCAACGCTCTTACTGTTTTGAACATTTACAAGAAATCCATTGAATGATAATTGAAAAGTTATTAAATGAATTACTAGAATATAGAATTTATATTCGATAGATTGACATTGATATTTGTATGACTTCACCAATTTATTTATATTCAGAGTTTGAGTGTGCAATTTGTAACGACAGTAGTACTGGCAACGTCTCAAGACTTTCTTGTGATCACTGTAAGTATAAATTTTATATTTCATTTTGTAAATATATACAAAGGAAAATGCATTCAAAGTATGTATATTATTTCACTAAATCTTAGGATGGGGCTATATTGGTGATAATACTATTATACCCCCGCTCCGAAGGAGAGGAGGATATACTGTTTTACCCTTGTGTGTCTGTCTGATTAATTACTCATTGCTGATGCTTGAGATTTTAGCACACTCTTTGTCTAGGCATACCTTGTGGTGGGATACATTTTTGTACAAATCTGATGTCAACTTCCTGTTTTTCCGTGCATCTGTCCATACCAAATTTTCGTCGCAGTTTTCTCAGCAACTACTCTATGCAGGTGCTTGAAATTTTAGCACACTCTTTGTTTAGGAGTGCCATATGATGGAATTCATTCTTTTTACGAATTTTTCTAAACAAAAGTTTTTTTTTTTTTTTTTAGAAAATAGGTTTAACAATTTAAAACTTATTATTTGTATTATTATTTATTTCCAAGTACCTACATATGCTGGGAGGGCGTATTTTTTCACAGTACACTGGCTTATTTATAGGAAACATTCTATACACTGTAAAAATGTGTTTAAATGATAGACACATTTCTAAGCACATTCTTGTCACACTTTTTTTAATGCGTTTAAATTTTAAACATGTTGAATTTCAGTACGCGTAATGGAAAGTGTTTTAAACCTAAATACATACATGTTTAGAGTTTAAACGCAATTCTAAACACTTAGATTCGCGTTTAGAAGCTAAACACTTCAATGTTTTAAACAAGGATCTGCAAGAAAACCAAAAATGTAACAGGTGTGTCCGTTTCAAGTTTTATTTACTTCTGAACATCATATTAAAATGATAAAAAAAAAGGCCTAACACACAGTAAAGTGTTCTCACGCAGTCACGGAATCATTGTCCGGTGGAATTCCTTTTACTTGTGAATGGTTTCCATTGTTTGTCACAAAGTCTTTTAGATGTTTTGACATATAAAACTATCTGGCATCTGAAGAGTTAGTAACATCCAAGTTGTTGAATTGTCTGCATTTTGTACCAGTAGCACAATACAAAGTAAATATATATGTAAAAGACTCCAGCTATGGTGTGCTTCTTGCAGTGTGATGCAATACGGATCACTATTTCAAATCCGTCGTGATGTAAACAAAGCAACAGGTTATCTGGATAATCTTGAAGGTATTTTCTACGGCAGTATAATTCACATCCAGTATCAGAAATGAATTTTGTTCTTTCTCTCGGCTATCCAATTAAGTTAACCTGTATGAAAGGACGTACGTTGCATAAGTAACAGTATGTGCTCCTCACTGAACACGCTTAAGTTTTACATCAATTACTAAGCATATAAAAAATGTTTAAATAAATATTATTGCAACTATAGATTCAATATTTACTCTCATTAATGAATACATGATATGACACCGAAAGACATCCTTGATATAAAGTGCAATGTTATTTACTTTGCTCATCGTGTTTATTTTATATAAAAACAAAAGCATACATACCCTATAGCAATAACAATGAGCCTTTCACATGTTTTTCACTATTTCTGCGGTGGTTGGCACTCAAATTCTCATCAGCTTTCTTGAAAACATCGTTTACTGTTTTGTTTTGATTTTCTTTGTTTCGACAACCGCGCTTATTAACGTTCAAATGTGTATCATTTCCGGGAAGATAACTCTGCACTTGACCGAATTTAAAACAAAAAAAACATGTTCAATATCTAAACGATTATAGATTTTAAATACATTTAGACATAAGTGTTTTGTTTTTAAACACAATATCAAACACGTTTAGATCTAAACACGTAATGGAAGTGTTTATTTCCTAAGCACATTTTTTACAGTGTATTCTTTCGCTATGTATACCGATATCTATTAATTTTTTTATTTTTTTATTTTTTTTGTATTTTGGTTATTTTTTCTCAATTAGCCAAATAATTCATTCCATTAATATGTATATAAAATGCAGCAATTCAGAATAGTTGTATGTTTTTCAATTTTCGAAGTACTCAAAATATAAGCACTTCGCGAAAATCTTGCGCTACAGTCAAATTTGAAATGAGGGGAGCCCTGAAATAGCCCTCTACAAAATTATTTTAAAAAAATATGTCCCTGGTTCTAAGGATCAGACCCAATGGTGGGATTAAGTCGTTCCTAAATTGGATTTATCAAACAGTGCACCTCATTTTATTTACTGCTGAGCTTCTAGAAGACGAGCTGTATGAATATGGTAGTTATTATATAGAGTCTTCACCAAACTGTAAAATTTTTGTCACATGGGACCAGAGTTTCCAGTTCCAAGTGGATCTAAAGTGGTCAAAGATACTCAGGTGACTACCAAGGCCCATGATCCTCTTGTTTCGTACTTTGGAAATGTAAGCTGACTGACACTTGATGTTGTAGATTTATTTAGACCATAAAAACATAGCAAAACATTAAAACTGCGAATTATTTCCCCTTAAACAGCAAGCAGAGCTAATGTAAGATATTAGAAAAATGCTGATGTACGAAATGTCTAATTAAAGTATATTGAAAAATTGCAGTGTGCGACGTGATTTCGCGCATCATTGTTTTGATGTATACTAATATCTTTTATCGAACCTTTCCTAGTTTTCCACAAGGCCTGTGTACTACAGTGGTTTATATCAAACTCCCAGCACACCTGTCCGATCTGTCGGAGTTCTCAGATCCCCTCCAATCACCTGTTGATAATAACCGTCCTACCCAGTCTGAGTTCTCGACCATCAAGAACTTCACAAGTAACCATTTCTGAAATTCTAACGTCCTTTTAACGTTTTTCTGTCTTCGTTTTATTTTATATGAAAAGTCAAATTCATGTAGCGTTCTTTTTATGTTGTTCTGTCTTCTTCATATTTTATATGAAAAGTCAAATTCGTGCATCATTTATTCAGATTTTCGCATCACATATGTATTTATTTTGTAGTTATAAAGTTTACGGAAGATGAGGTTTACGAATTAAATCTTCTACAAAAAAGATTCTTCAAAGAGTGAATTATCTGAATTGTGTATACTCTCAGCTCTGGAGGAAAGATTACGATGAACCAGGAAACAGCAAATCTGAACAACATATTAAGCAGAGTGAGACAATTCAAGAAGTGCTAATAACTCTTTACATAGAGCTATACTTAGACTTCCCGAGTGTGCTGAAAGATACATGTATATACAGCTAAACTTAAAAGTGGCATACAATTAGATTGTCACGCAGAAATACGTTAATGCTTGTTTAACGTCTACACCATAAAGCACAAACTGGAGATTCAGTCGACAATTCAAACAGTGTAAACTGTTGGGAAACATCAGGCACTGAACATTATCAAAATAGACTATCAGATACAAAACATAAGTCGGCATTCAAAATCATGTATTTATAGTTGATGGTACCCCAAATTATCAATTTAATTTGGTACTGTCATCTATTTCTTTAATAGGGCATAGCTTGATAGTGCGATATACGTACATGTAGCTAAATCAATTGGTCTTTCAAATGGAAATTTTGATAATAATTTTGAGAAAAAATTGCTACTTTTGCTTATATTTATGCAAATTGTCAATTATTTATGGGAAATTCATATATTTGTACTCAAATAATAGTGAATATATGCTATGTCAGCATCTAATATGATTTGGTTAATTAGTGATTAAGTCTTCGAAATATATGCAATCACGAAAATAGTTGCTGTTTTTTTTTTGGGGGGGGGGGTTAAATAAACGTACATTACATCTACATGTTTAATAAATCTAACCAATTTTTTTTTAATTTTAATCTGCAAATTATTCTTAGCTCTAAAGTTCTACAAAAATGACTCAACATTCCTTAAAACTTACAAAATGCTGGAGAAGGTATTATTTCATTAAATTTTTACCTTTTGACTGCGCAAAATTTGAAAAACGAATATTACAAAGTTATTCTTGTAAGGATATCAAATAAAAAAATACCTGCATGCATTGTGACATCCTGAAGTTTATGTTACAATATTTACATTTGCAAATAATTTTCTTAGATGAACCTATTGAAGAGAAAATATGTTCAATTTTATATGAAATTATTAGGGGATCAGAGGTCATAGCATGACCGAATCACATAGCGAGATGATATCATACCAACATATTTCTGTCACGGTGAAACTGGTTTCGGAACTTCTAAGTTGATGGCGATGAATTATGTTACAATATCTACATTTGCAAATACTTTTCTTAGATGAACCTACTGAAGAGAAAATATGAATCTACACTACCTGAGGATGCTTCCATATCAGTATGACTAAATAAACATGGCTATGCTATTCTTGAGAGGATTTTTAAAATATGTATTTCTATGTAAAACTTTGATTGCCAAATGTGGTCCCAAACTACCCCCTTTGGTAGAAACTTCTTTTATTTACAAACTATTAACCAACGAATTTCGGGGCGCGTTTGATTGACACACATCCTTGCGGTTTCACGTATTAAACTGTATCCTTAATATTTAAGAAAAATGGAAAATTTGTTTGCATTAATGAAAAATATTAAAACTATAATCCAGAAAATTCAGAGTAGAAATGTGAGAAATCCTCGTGCCCATGTTTACAAACACAGATGATTGACCTGACGTTATGAAGAATGTCGCCGTCATTGAATTTTAAGAATTTTCATGAAAGTTCAATTCATTAAACTGAAGTTATTTTTTGAATAAAAATGTAAACAAAAAACGGCAATGTAACTGTGTCCAGACCCCTTTAAATTCATATACACATGTACACCGGGAAAAAAATTTTTTGTTCCTAACAAATAATAGTTTATGGCTGTAACCTCTTATACGTTTGAAGAGGTCCACATTTTAATCAATATTTGATCTAGATCTGAACATATATGTTTTATCTACCGATCTGTTCATCTGATAAAAGGGTTTTATTTAAGGAACGTATTCAACTTAAGATTGGATAGGGTGTCTATTTTGCAGAGCCAAAGAAAAAAAAATTGTAATATAGTGGGCCTCGTTTATCTGTGTGTTGTATGAAAGTCATCAAATTATTAATTGTTTGATTCAAATAAATAACACAAAAATCTTCTTTTGCTCTGCGCATGAAATAAAAAAAATAGACCCTCTACCCAATCTTCCCTTGAATTAAATAAACCCATTTTAACAGAGAAATAAGTTTGTACAATAATAAAAATACATCCTGATGACTTTCGTGCAGCATACAGATAGAGACAGATAGAGAAGAACCAGTATCTTATAGAATAGCTGTAAGCCGTAACAGTTATTGGTTTAATATGCATTACATGGAATTGATTTTGTTTTGTTTTTTTTAAATGTTTGTCTACTTGGCGTTGAAGTCTACTCTAATACATTTTGTATTAGTATCATATCTTTAATCAATTTTTTTTAAATCCATCGTGAGTTCCGTCCATAAGACACCGCAATAGTTTCATGGTTGTCATTTTATCCTCTTTTTGTAAAACATAAAAAAAAAATTGAGGCAGAGTTTTTTATGTACTTGTAGACCGAATACAGTGCAAGAATAACAAGAGTGAAGATAGCAAACAGCAATCGATCTCAATAAACCCTTCGAACAATAATATAAAAAAATAAGGTATAAAAAAAAACGGGTGCCCGAAACTTTCAGAGGAGGGATCAGGTGCATAGGAGGAGTACGCATTCCCTTACCCGCACATCCGCCGTGAGCCCTATGTACAGATCAGGTAGACGGAATATTCCGTTGTTAAATTAAGGCCTTACAATTGGTATGAAATATATCAGTAAAATAAGACACAATGATAGATTATATTTGCTAACAAGGTCATTATAACGACCAAAGAATTTACTTTAAATAAGGTACTATACTTTGATTCACTTTTCTTTGGGTTTTTTCCTTAAACTTCCAATAATAGCAAGCTATAAATGTGTCCCCTGACACATTCAATTTGTAAGACTAAACAATTTAACAATTAAGATCAAGGGAAAACAAAATATTGAATTTCACGTTTAACTTCAATACATGAATGAATGTACGTATTTAAAATACATTATGTTTTTGACCATGAAAGAAAGGGATCTTATCTAACTTTTTTGCTGATTACTTTATGCCCTAGATAAAAAAAAATACACCTTTACAATTCCAGGGACATAAATTAAATATCAGGACTGAATATGTCCAAGAAGGAGAAATATTACAAAAATTCAATCATGCACTATCATTTATTCATAAAATAGAAACACCCTTTACATTTCAGAGGTGAATCTCTTCATATTAAATTCCTTACAATTTATACACTAATGTACAAAATTGAATGTATTATGTGAAGATGAAAGAAAATTTTCATAAATATCTTAATAACCCTAAAATGTTTGTAGAAAATATTAAAAGTAAGTATTAGAATATCTTTACATTTGCCACATTAAAAGACAGATAAAACAGAAAAGTTAACATATTTGAGGAAGTTTAAATCCTCCGCCAATGAACAATGCTTGGATAATCTTTTTTTTTTCCTGAGAAAACGAAGATAAACAATAGGAAAAACCTCGTTGGATTCATACATTACATAAACTGATATCGAGCATGAATATATAAGATAAAAAAAAAGTTTGGGGATAACATCTCATCTTTATTTAACAACACAAGAGTTGTTGTCTATGAATTTTTCTCTTATAGCTTTCTTTTTTATTGTGTCCATGACCTATTTCTATAATAGTTAAGATTTATTTATTTTATATTTTGTTTATAATCTTTTTCTTTAATAACTAAGTTTTCTTTCTTTTCTTTAACGTTGCCTTTGCCCTTTTTTTCGCTAATAACTAGGTTTTCTTTCTTTTTTAGGTTAATACTGAGTCGTGCTGAACTCAGTTAATGAGTTCAGGTTTATGTCATGAAAATAAATTGAATAGACATTAAATAAAATATGTCATTGCCATTTTTGTGGTGACAATGTATTTTTGCAAAAAAGTTAAACCTACAATAGTCAATATATATCAATGCATTTTTTAACAAATGAGATTAGAAAATGTTGAATTCAAATGGATTGATTGATTATATGTTGTTTAAGTCTCATTCGAGAATTTTTCACTCATATAGAGACGTCACCATATACCGGTGAAGGGCTTCAAATTTGGACCTTTACTCGGCACTCAGGGCCATTGAGCAGTGAGGGATCTTTATCGTGCCAACGCATACAGTGACACGGGGCCTCGATTTTTAAGGTCTCATCCGAAGGACCCGCAACTTTCACTTCAAAGTGCCGAGCGCATGGCGAAGGAACAGTTGCTACCCATTTTTTATCGACTTAGGTCAGTCGCGGCGGAGATTCGAACTCACGACCTCCCGATCACGAAGCGAGCGCTCTACCGACTGAGCTATCGTGAACGGTGGAGGAGTAAAATATAGAATAATGTTCCCAGATATTTTGCTTTAGTGTATAGGGGGTAATTAGGTTTAATGAGTTAAATGGGTTGCCTTCTTTTCTATAAAAAATCTTGTTTTCCTAAGTTGTTGAAGTAAAGTTTGCATATCTTTGAAAAACAGATGTATGAAATTTAACTCTTCTTATATATATATATATATATATATATATATATATATATATATATATATATATATATATATATATATATATATATACAAAGCTGATAATCTATTCAATTTTATATTCAGAATTAAGTCAAAATCACCTTGCAATGAGAAATAAATCCATTTTTGCCCAATAACTCTCGAAGACTTCATTAGAATGTGTTCGAAAAATAGTGTGTTGCCGTCCATGACCTAGGGTTTTGATGTAGACTCATAAAGTTATCTCTACGGTTAAGGCAACTTTGAAATAGATAGTGAAATGGTTTTTGGGTCTAACCTCTTTCAGCCTTCGTTAGAACGTATTTAAAATTGCATTTAATTATCATTTCTGATGTCCTAGATATAGGTCATGATCTAGGCTCTTGGTTATCATAATCATGAAATGCCAAGGTCATTGAGAAAGGAGATAAAATCTTGAAAGGCCACAGCTTAAAACCCCTTAATGAAATGTATTCAAACTTGGGGCTTGATGATTTATATGTAATGACCTTAACACAATTTTCATAGGTCAAGGCCAAGTCGTTTGTTTTTGTCAAAGAATAACATAGTTATTTTTGCTGGTGGTGGATGCAATTGTTAGACAAGCTAATTCAGAGAATTGTGTCCCCTACTTAAGGAAAAAAGAAGAGAGTAGAAGAAATGGAAAAAATGCAGATGGAGAGAGAAAAAAGGTCAACCTTGACCTTTCAGCTTCTCGCCTAACCCTAACAAAAATGCTATAGTTAATTATGTTTTACTATAGTTATCTTTAGTTTACTATAGTTAACTATAGTTTACTACAGTTAACTTTAGTTTATTATTGTTAATAATAGCTTACTATAGTATCAAAGTTTTTTTTTACTATAGTAAATCAAACTTAAGTATTTTTGCTATGGATTTCAGATTGTTATATTTTTTGTTCTTCAATTCATACATGCATAATTTTTATATTAAATGAAAGTATTATAATTTTATATTCACTTATTATTTCCAACTTCAACATAACTGTTATCAAATTTAAGAGATTTTAAGTTTTAAAATATTAAAACAAGTTCCAGAGTGAAGTTTTATAGTAAATGAAAGTAACAAAGTTTTTACTATAGTTAACTATTGTAAACTATAGTTAACTATAGCAAATTTTTGTTAGGGTGAGGCCACATAAATTTAAAGTTTAGATGTTCGTCTTAATTTCCTTAAAAATTTTGGCGGGTGGGCGGATTTTATTTTTTATTTCCTTTTAATGTAAACATCTATATACAGTGTAACGAACTTGTTATACTAAATTTTCACATTGTAAATGCCACTATGGATATGTAGATTTGATTGCTTATTCTTTAAAATGTGTACAGAAAATTAATTTTGTATAACATATTTATCACACTGCAATAATGATTTTATGACTGAGAACGTTTGTACACGCCACATTTAACTGCTTGTATGAAATTGGCCGCAGATCCAAATACTTTGTGCATACTATTCACCACTTCTCATTGGCCTTTTTCTAAATGTATATTTTTCGTTTGGCCAATAAATACTTGACCTTTGTCTGAAAATATCAACGATTTTCACTACTAGTGTTCTTATAACGTTCAATTTTTCGTTCTTAACACGTTCGATATATTGTCAAAATTTTACACAACATATGGTGTCTTATTTAGCCTTTACTAAACAGTTCTTTGTGATTTACTATGTAAAATCCGCCGACAACCTTTATTATATATTTAAAATTAAACTGTATAATAAACTTCTCTATTATCCCCATATGTTCCTAATGCTAAAAATAGTGCCACCCGACTTTTAATACAAAGTGTAGATAACTTAAACTTTGACCGTGATCGATGCCGATAAAATCCAATTGACTTTTGACCAAAATTTTAAATATCCCCCACTTTTAGTGAAAAAGGGGGACAAAAATGTAGAAAAGCGTATTTAAGCCTATTGATTTCAACTTAAAACGTGAACCCATATGACTGATTTACTCTGAAATCTCTTGTGTTTAGTACATTCTTCCTGTTAAGAATAAGAAACGTACCTCTGGGGACCTACTTAAAACACAGCAAGTTCCTCATTGTTGTTCTTATCATATCTTAAATATTAAGCACTTGGTCAAATAACCATGCTATGTTTTCAAAAATGTGATGTGAAATAAAGGTCTCCAGCGTATTTTGCTCATACCTGATGAATGGAACAAACAATAGAATCAGATTTCCTTTTCAAATGAGTGTTACATGTACTTGAGAAAGCATGATGGCTAAGGTCAATATTGTTGCTGAAGAAATTGAACAGAAGTAAATAATAGTCTGCAACTGTTAAAAAAAATACCAGTGTAAAAGTGAAAATTAAAATTTTAACATTTCCAGTAGGACCTACTTTTGACGCAGTCCTTTGCTTCTAAATTTTACAGCTGCATAGTTTTCGAGGCCACTGCTTGTGATTTTTTTTATTTTATTAAAAATGTTCAAAGCGAATAAAATGTACATTGAATATAACAAAAAATACAAAAATGCAAAACCTGATTTAAAACAAATGCACTTGATCTGCAATGTTTAGCTCACCTAGACACTAGCATCCCGGGGGGAAAAATCGTCTCCATTGGTGATCTTGAGTGGCTGGAAACCCTGTAGGCCGTGCTGTTAATCACCTTTAACAAATCCAATTCCTTTCTCAGTGCTATCTAACTTGATTCTATATGATAAGCAACTTACCCAGCCTCAGAAATATATGCACTATTTCAACTCGTTGGTTTAACCAAATATAAAACCATAAAATTAGGATATACGTTATTTGTACAATAAATATTACCTTTAATGTGAAGACAGAAATATCGCATTTAATGTAAAACCAAAAATAAATAAGAATTAATTTAATGTAACAATGTGCATTTCATATTAGAAATATTATATTTATCTAGATTACTACTATATCATTTAATGGTCAGGGAAAATATCGGCCCTAAACGAATTATTCGACTATCCACCGAATGCAGGACTACTGTTATAAAAAAATATGGGATGTGTTTTCTTTACCTTACAATTTATCTTTAAATGGTGATGATTTTGCAAGCATCCCATTAGATTTGTTATGTTACAAAATTTTCATACAATAAATTGGTCGAAAAATGACTCCAATTTTGACTATTCCAGGACAATATTTGTATAGTGAACCCATATATCTCTCCATATTGATTGGCCTATTTTATAAATAGAATTAAACTCAAATCATCGTTCTGTTAATGAAATATTTAATGGTGTTTATCCTTTAATAAAATACATGTAACCCCTCATACAATAAATCTACTTTCAGATGTCTGTTGTGTTCAGTGTATTTAAGCCTTGTTTAAAAAAAATCATTCATATTATTAAAAATATAACTGTGCAAAGTCAGCTACATAAATAAAAATTTTCTCGGAGATACTGTACACAAGACATCACATGGATGTCACTAAACCGACGTCTTTTACAAAAAAAAAAAAAAAAAGTCTTGTCCACTGCTGTGTGTTGAGACACATTTTATTTACAACACAAAATAAACCATTAATGCTAAGTCTGCGAAACATGGGAGAAGAATACATGTAATTCAGTTTTTAAGGGCAAAAAATTATTTATTGTCAGTTGTATCACATTTCTTATTTTATCTGTGCAAACAATAAAATATCAGTACTATCCATGTCATCGGTGCATCGTCTGCACCATTGTTTTCCGCGTCTGTACATTGCCCGGATATCAGTCAGGATGCGTTTGTTCCCTTTTCCTGATTCAACTAGGGTGACACATATTCATAAGTGTGGCGATTGTATGTTTTACATTGCATAACAGAATTCTGAACAATGAATTTCAACTCTATTATTATACTGCTTGGAATTTCTGTCTCACAGATTGGTAAGTTAACGATAACAAATATGTAACTAAGTTGGTTTCCTATTATTTTAATAAATATAAACATTAAAACAATACACATGTATTATTTTTGTTTACATATATATTCTACATCTCAAAGGTCATTAATACGTTAATTAATGTTTGTGTGTCATTTTAACATTTTTGTGAGAGCATGAACTATAACTTCTAATATAGACATTTAGACAATAAGACACGGTAAGGGGAATAAATACGAATAAGATGAGAACTGCTAATTTTGTATTAAAGCCTTTTATGTATTGAATTTATCTTTTTACCATCTTTTAAACCTTTGATATCCTTTGATTTAGTTTTCAGATATTTTTTTAAGCTGAAAATCTTTATTGTTATTACTGAAGTACATGTATGTTTTATCATTGTCCCCCACAAGGTCATTTTTGATGGAAGCCTTTAGCCTCTGGTCAGAATCATTTTAAAACAAAATTTCCGAAAATTTGATTTTTCTTGAAAAGGAAAAAAAGTTGTAGATAAACAAAATCATCTGATTCAACTGACGACTAATGTCTTTGTGCCTCACTTCGGGTAATAATCACACTTAAAAATCATAAGTGCATTATTTACTCTGTTGTTTTATGACAATTACATAGTAAGGCCAAAAAGTGTACTCGTGGGAAACCAAAAATGATCTTCACCTGATACATTTCAAGTAACATGAGTAATTGATGGTTGTTCATCTCTGATTTAACGTTAGTTCACATTTTGTTTTTAAATTTCTACAAAATTATATCTTGTACACTAGCGTATTTAATCGCAACTGTCAATTATGCCTGTACATGTATATTTGCGATTTAAGAGTTGAGGATTATAAGAAGTATTTTCTACTACATGTAGTTTATATATTCCTTCGTGTCTAGTTAAGATTCTTATATAAAGAGACTCGAGTGGTAGAAAAAATGCACCGATGGACGTGAGGTTAGAAGCATATTTTGTTTAGGGAAAGTTTGCATTAATTTGAAATGCAATGAAAAATGCCCTCGATCGCAGTTCTGTTACTTCAGATATTTTTTTCTTCTTATCTTAACTTTCACTTATTGTGACAATACTTTTAGATACTTAAAACAAAATTCGACACAATTCATAATCTATCTCAACACCCTTTATTTTGGTAATGCATAAAGACTGATTCATGACTCTTCTGTCGGTCACTGCACTTTTTTGTGATCTTTGGTAAACTTAAGGACTCCAAAGAAGGAATTCTTATATATTTATACATCCCTTAAGCTTGTTTGTCAATTTCCTATACGTATCAGCATTTTTATAATGGTATTCATAGCAAACATTCTTCTCTGTGAGATCAGTGATCACACATTCAAGTTATTTAGTAAATTTGACGTTTTCGATGTGTTAACAGTCCTTCAGGCTGTCTCTGAGTTACCCTTCCAACAATCCCTTATTTTCTCCTGTTATCTTTCCCTTAGAGGGCGCCACAGGCAAACTCGGTCCCGTATCGGAATACCCTCGCGCATTATCAGTATCTAACTATCGAAGAAAACGTAAACAAACCGCTGTCAATCTCTTTTTTATAATGCCTGAAACTTGCTGTTGTGTACCAGAATGCAGTAATCGAGGTGGACATGTGTTTCCCTCTGATCAATCAAGAAGAAAAATTTGGATCCATGCAATTAAACGCGGCGAAACCCGTTTTCAAAGTTGGGAACCTAAAACACATGCTGTTGTATGCAGGGCAACCTTTAAAGCTGATGACTACGTAACTGAAACTCAACACGGTATTTATTTATTTTTTAATCAGCTTAAAACTTCATTAACAAAAAAATATTAAGAAAAAGTTGCATTTTCCATGTAAATACTTTAATTGCATGTAAATTAATTTACGATGAACCTGTTCCAGACACTGACACATGCATGCCAATATTTGACTCCCGCTGACATTCCCGATTACACTTGTGATCCAGTAAACAAGAAGCATGTCTGGCAGCTCTATAAAACTTCTGGTAATCTATTTATGCATATGTAATAAGCATGATAAGAAATCGTCTTTTGTTTACCCTTTTATTTTCATCTCACACTGTTTAAATCTCACTGTGAATTTGAGAAATATATATATATATATATATATATATATATATATATATATATATATATATATATATATATATATATATATATATATATATATATATATATAGATAGATAGATAGATAGATAGATAGATAGAATAAATTAAGATTCATATTTTGTATCTTACTAGATAATAAAATTTTAAACATGTTAAAAGTTTGTTTCAAAATAAATAAATTATTTTCAAGGAACTACACCCCTGAGTAAAAGACTTAAGAAAAGTGCGGTCCCTAGTATTTTTTCCTGGGTTGAGCCAAGTCCCCATTCACAAGCCAGATCTGATAGAGCAAAGTCCAGGGGTATCAAGCGAAAATTAGCAGAGGAATTTTCTTCCCAGTCAGAGGATGTAGAAATTATATATGCAAGTGATGAACTGCAAGCAACCGAAGAAGTAGTTTTTGATTCAACAATTGTAACTGAAGCTTCAGAGATACCCAAAGTTGAAACCAACATCTATTTTCAAAATGTGGAGACCCAAATACCTAAATATCCTCCAATGAGCATAGACAATTTTACAAATGATGATGCTGGTGTTCATTTCTATACTGGCCTGGAAACACTACGGAAATTTTACTTTGTTTTGAGAACTCTAGGCCCAGCTGCCTATTATTTGAACTATGTGTATCATCAAGTTTCAAACATCAGTGTTCCTGATCAGTTTTTCCTTGTGCTTTGTAAATTACGCCGCCACACTACAAGTTTTGAACTGTCAAGACTTTTTGGCATTTCTGAAAAAAGTCTCAAATATATTTTTTTACCTGGATTCTATTTATGAATAAGCAATGGCGTGAAATTGATTTGTGGCCTTCAAGACATCTAGTTAAATATTTTTGCCCGTCAGATTTAAAAATAAAATTTCCAAATACAAGGGTAATTATTGGTGGTACTGAATGTCCCATTAAGAAACCAAAACTTCCTAAATCTCAGCAAGCCACTTTTTCTACATACAAAAACCGTAACACTGTGAAGGTTCTTGTTGGAGCAACACCAGGCGGTTTGACATCCTACATCTTTACAGCCTATGGTGGATCTACAAGTGATCGTCAAATCGTTGAAAGAAGTTGTCTAATAGATATGTGCAATTCGGGTGATTCAATTATGGCAGACAAAGGTTTTAATGTGCAGGATATGTTTGTACACAAGAACATTCAAATTAACATGCCAACGTTTTTTAAAAAGAAAAATAGGATGTCCTGTGAAACTGTTATAAAAGATAGAAAAATATCCAGTAAACGTGTACATATAGAGAGAATTATTGGACTTGCAAAGACTTACAAAATTTTAAGTGAACCAATGAACAGTTCAGAATCAAAACTGTCATCTGAAATTATATACATTTGTTTCATGTTGTGTAACTTGAAGAATTGCATTGTGCCATCATATGCATAATTAATCTGATCTAATAAACATTGAATAAAAAGAGTGTTTTATAATTTAAACTTTTATTTACTTATTGCAATTACAAACACCTTTGTATGTTTTGTAAAACATTTTCTCAAGCAAGGCAGATTTGAAGTAAGTTTTGTAAAACTCATCCAATTTTTCTTTCATGTCATTTATAAATTTGTCATTTCTTTCGATAGAAAAGAACAAAATGTCATTAAAAGTGTACACGACAAATATGCATTTCTGTTTCTGAGCACAAAGAAGTTGTCCCTGAACCTGGTACATGTAGTAATAGTCATGCTTTTCATCAAGATAGAATCTGGTTCCAGATTGTCTTAAATACGGTACAGTTTTAGAAGAAATGAAATTATTTCTCGCTACATATGGACATTTCACCTCCACCACAGTGTCTTCATCAATAATGCCATCAGGGGATGCTGCTAAGTATGGTGAGACGAGACACACACATATTCCATTTTCATAAACAGTATTTCCAGTAATTTCTTGGTACTTTTTCAAAGCAGATTTTTCATATTTTCTGCCGTGAAGTATAGGCTTTGTGTTTAGTCTTTGTCCCTTTTCTGTTCGGCGCTGAGCAAGTTTTGCTTTGTCTGTCCTATCTGTAGCTTTACATATTCTTCCATACAAAGATGAATGTAGGCGCTTACACCGTTCTTCAAACCACAGATCATTAGTTACCTGGGTTGCCGTTTTCACCATTACCTGCCTTGCAGACTCTTCAGAAATTTCTGACACATTTATTAATTTCAAATGTCTCTCACTAAATGTGTCCTTGAGGTAATCATGGTCCAGGTCAAGTGCCCTCATGTTTGCAGGCTCATATAACTGGAATATTTGGGTGCTGCTTATTCCTGGGAAATTCAAACACACACTTCTGAAATATGAAGTGTAACCAGAGCTATTTTGATATTTTAAAGGACGGGGGTCATATTCACTGTTACATATTTCATCGCAGCCAGGCATGTCCATGATCCGTGCTTTCAGGGGGCTTCCTTTGTGTGGTTTAGCTCGGTGGAAAGTTTGAATCATTTGTGTACAGGTTAGTTCTGTTTTAACACTTCCACGCTTCATAAAATCTGAGCATGCAAACAGAACAGCACACACATGTTTACAATGTGCATCTGGTCCCATGCCTGCAGCACATTCACACTGGGATTCAACAGCACTCTTGTCCTGACCAATCATGACATCAACAATATACTTTACTGATTTCATGATAGAGGCTTTCACTGAACTTCTGATAAACCAGTGTAAATCATGGAATACTACTTTCACATACTGGATGAAACCATCATTATACATGTCTCTAGCTTTCTTGTCCATTATCTTGTTAAACTTTAACAAGAAGGCAGAGATATCTGAATCAGTACATCCTGGAAATGCCTGGCCACTATGGAGGTCTTTATAAAGCTGTGGATCTGGGGTCATCATGAGGAACTCAGGTCCAGAAACGTCAGTCTTTGCACAGTGGGCATTTCTTTTGTAAGCTTCAAGTCTGTAAAAAAAGTATTATCATAGTTAAATTGATTAAGTTTTTTTAAATAGATAACAATATATTAAATCTGTTCATGATTTTGTGAATTATATGAGACGTACACTCACAGGAAAACAAAGACCACTCAGATGACAATGATTGAGGAAATTCGGGAAAAATATATAAGCAATAAAAACGATCATTTTATATCTTTCCAAAAGACTTTTTCAATTAACTGGCGTTTTTAAGGCTACATAAACACAGATCACTGATGTTTTATTTCATTTAAATGTTTCCATAAGGTAACGAAAGAGTATAAAAAGATCGATCAGCTGTTTACATTGACATATATTTACCTCTCAACGAGCTCCCATTTTCTGCCGCTTTTTTTCGCACCGAGTTTTTCCAACTCTCTTTTTAGCTCAGGTATTGTCATAGCATCAAAATTTGATGCCATAGTGGGTAAAATATGTTTTTGATACGTGTATTTTCTTCGAAAGTGATCTGTAGAATAATCGCCGATAAGCCATTGCTGCCATGCCTATCAGTTTTTGTGTTGGACCGCATTTGCCTGTGGCGACCCCTTACGGTGCAAGATAAGATAACTGACGCCGGTTCACCATTGATTGAAACGAAAATTGCTTTTATAATATTATTGAATTATTTCTAGATCTCTAATTGGCTGAAATCTAACATTGTAGAAATCATATTAAGTTATGTTCAGCTGCACTAGATATTTCAATTGAACAAAATACCCAGTATTATTTTTTTTCTACATGGTACCAAGATAGATCGAAAACTTCCAAATTGATACGAGTTAGGAAAAGATATTCACCTGCAACCCCCCTTCCAGGTGAACAACCATTTGTATCTGTTTTTCTACATATTTCCAAAACTAAATCAAGATATGATAAAACCATTTCTGCTTGTTTAGGAGAACATTGTACTCCTTGCTAGGGTAGTTTAATCTTTGTATTGACCTCAAAAACAGCAACAACTGTATATTTAGGAGAAGTTTTTAAATTCAGTTTTAAAACGAATTTTATTGCAATTTACGATATCATTGTATATTTTCAGAGAAAATTCTCAACTATTTATCCGACAGTAGAACCATTAAGATATATAGTAAAAAATAATTTATGATATTATGCAATATTTTAAATACTCAAAATACAATTTTATTACATGCTTTGACATTTTAACCGTCTTACTCAACGTTTTTTTATAGTGATGGAGCAATCAGCTATTATTCGGAATGTGTTTCTCAATTGGACAGAAGCGAGGAACGCGTGCAGGGACTCGAAATCGCATCTTTTAAACTTCTTTGAAATGAAAAATAGGCTTGAATACTTCAAAAAAGAATTAATACTAAATAAAAAGTACTGGGTTGCAGAAACATGGATACCAAAATTATTTTTTGTGAAAGGTACGCATTGGCACAGATGCTAGTATTATAAATAAGATATGGAAATCATTGTATAAAGAAATGGATAAATTTATTCTTCATTGTGATTGTATAAATATTAGCCTTTTTCAGACATGTTTGGGTTCTTTTTTATTGACAGTGGCATTTCATGTTTTATCAAGGTTGTCAATCGAAAATCGAAGGATTGTCAATGAGAATAGATCACGGAAACCTCTTTTCAGAATGTGTGAAATATTGTGAAAGTCAAAACCATACCACTATAGGAATACAGGTAAATTTCTGAATAAAGCCTCATTTAAGTAAACCTTATGCTTGTAGCTTTCTAAATGTTTGGATTATCTAATTGATACATTTACTGAAACCGTGCATTTCAGGGATATAATTGCTCGTGTGTTGTCGAACAAAACCTTCTAAAGTTGGAGTCCAATGGTTGCGACACGAAATGTGTTTGGAACAATATTACATGTAGCGCGAAAAAAAATTCCTTCGCAGTTTATCAGTTGGCGAAAGGTAAGAAGAAAATACAGAACATGATAGATACGTATACGTACATGTTTTGAAATTTGAAATTGTAGATAGACGGGGCATCTTATTGTCCCTAGTCCGAAATATCTGACGTTTTTCAGGCTTTTTACGATTTTGATATGTGGAGTACCAAGAAAACGTCAGAACCTGCACCATTCTGAAAACTAGAAATTTCCGATACTTGCGTTAAATGTTAAACTCACGTTTTATCAATAGCAATGCTTTTCACCAACATCGCTTAAAATCAATTGAATGGAAATGTACAACTTTTCAACACTTCATACAACTATTCTCCACGATAAATTATAGACTAGGCTTTTTGACATCATAGACAGCTGCTTCTTCATAAAAGTGGAACTCATAAATTTGCATACCTTGTCACTAGTCATTTGCAAACTTACTTTGTTAAAAAAAAACATTCTGATTCTACACACAAGTACTCCAAGGCAGATATTGAAAAGACGGTTTAAGTGTATCATTGACAATATCTATGTAGTTTATGGAGACCAGGTGTTCAAACAATATGCTGGAATTCCCATGTTTTCAAATTGTGTGCTGTTATTAGCAGACCTTTTTTGAATTTTATAAAGCAAAATTTATTCAAAAACTTCTACATGGAAAGAAGAAGTCTTTTTCTGTGGCCTTTAATTTGGCATACGAGAGGTGATCAAAAAGTTCGCGAACTATCTCTATATTTAAAAAATCACAATTCAGGTCAGAGTGATATTTTGCACACATATAGTAATACACATGTTCTTTAAATAGCAGATATTAAATAATGTTTTCCTCCGTGTTTGTGACGTCACAATGTGAAAATCACGTCAGTATGTAGGTCACTTGTGACAAAAAATGGTTGACTCAGTCGTACTAGAGCAATGAACGGCTGTAAAGTTTAACGTATATCTCGGAAATTCCTTTGCAGTAGAATATGATAATTTATGTAAGGCTTATGAAGATAAAAGACTTACCAGAAGTTTAATCATTAATTGGATTGAATGTTTTAATGAAGGCAGGGAGATGGTTAAAAATGATGTTTGTTCTGTTGCCCAGCGAAAGCAAGCCGGTAAAAAGATGTGTTCTTAGTTGAGCAATTTGTTTTGAAAGATCGCCAAGTTACAGTAAGAAAAATAGTTGAATATCTGAGCAATAATATAATTATTAAATCCCTAAAATTGAGGGATGTCACGTGACACAGACGAAGCTAGACGTGTTTTCTGCCGCTCTGTGTTTTTTGACAATTTCTTCCGAATCTGAGTTTCTTCTTGAGGAATATTTAAGTTTCGGAAGTCTAGTGTGTGTATGTGTATGCTTGGCTTCGGGATTTTTCATCAAAAACTCATTGTAAAAAAGTTTGATTTCGTGTATATATGTTTGTTGATCTCATCAGTGATTTCTTCTCACTTGTTTACCTGTGTTTTTCACCTGACGATGGCTGAGAGTGATTTCGACTCAATCTCTTCCACGGTCAATAGAACATCAAAGCCGTTATACTTAAAGAACAATGACCTCCGGGGTTCCTCTAAAAAACAGATCACTGACTTTGATCTTATTGACCCAATAACAAAAGTAATCGGCGATGATCTACTGTGCGTGCAACTTGACCGCAATCTTTGGAGAATTTACCTCAAAAGTACAGAATGCAGACTTAAGCTTCTCACACAGGGTATTGATATCAATAGTGTATCCTACCAGTTTTATGATACGAACCCATACACCTCTGGTGCTACATCTGTAACTCAAAAAACTCTTAAACTACAGATATGTGGTCTCCCCCTCTCTGTTGCCGATTCCGCGGTACAGGAACTACTTAACAAGCTTAATGTCAAATTAACAAGTAAAATTCTGTACGAAAAGATCCGCCATCCAGACACAAACCGGATGACAAGTATCCTAAATGGGACCAGGTTCATGTATATTGAGCCTCTTCCAGACGGAAAATATCTACCCAGAATCAATTACTGTGGTGGTATTCAGTGTAAACTTTTTCACTACGGTCAACCCAAAAAAGACATAAACCTTCTATGTACAAATTGCTGGAAAACTGACCACACTCGCTCTAATTGTACATTCGATACCTGCTGTAAGGTATGCAAACAACCTGGCCATTCCCCCGGGAATGAAGCATGCCCGCATTACCAGCCACAAAAGCATTTGACCCCTTTCTGTGGTGCAGAGGATGTTCTATCCAATTTTTACCCATGCAATATGGATATATTTGGTGTCAAACACAAGTCGGCTGAGCATGCCTTTCAGTACATTAAAGCAATAAGATGTGGTGACCTAGAGTCTGCCAATATCATCAAGGATGCCGATGATGCCCTTTCCGCTCTACGCCTAGGCAAAAAAATTAAATCCAACGAGCAGTGGGAGTCTACCAAGGTGTGTGTCATGGAGGAGATCTTGGAAAACAAATGTGTCCAGGTACCTGTTTTCAGAGATAAATTGTGTACCTCCAAGCAATCGACAGTTTTTGTAGAAACAACGTACAACAATGAGTGGGGATCTGGACTTGACCGTGATGGTACGTGCAACACCAAACCTGAACACTGGCCGGGAAAAAACACTCTTGGTGTCCTTATTAAAAAAATTGCAAAAAAAGTTAGAAAAAGAAAGCTAAGTGATCCTACAAAAAACGAAAGAAAACAAAAACAAAAAGAACATTCGAACCAACGCACAATAGTGCAAATGCTACATCAACTTAGAGAAATGTCTGACAGCGATGCATCTGGCTGTAATCCTGACACGGAGAGTTCCGAGGATGAGAAGTAACTGTATTTTCTCCGGTCAGACTGACGCAGCATTTCATGAACTGTGGTATGTGCTTAGTGTTATATTTATTTATAGAGAAAAATGGCATACTTTAAAAATGCTATCATGAATTGGTATAACTTTTTTTTTTACTTGTAAACTAATTACACTTATATTATTTCCCTTTTTTTTTATATGACATTATTATACAGTTATATCCACCAGAAAAATGAAAAATTTAAGTTTACTGTCGGTGAATGTAAGAGGTCTTAATTCGCCGGAAAAAAGAGCCAAAATTTTTACATGGTTAGAAGAGAGTAAAATAGATATAATACTTTTACAAGAAACTCATTTTGTTGAAAAACGTGTGGAAAATTATGATAGAAAATGGAACGGGAAAATAGTACATGCTTTTTCAGACTCTCCTTTTAGTAGAGGAGTTTCCATTCTTTTCAACAGAGATTGTAATGTAGATATTTTAAATGTACATAAGTCTAATGATGGAAGGAAAATACTTATTAATGTAAAAATAGACGATAATTTATTTACAATCATTAACGTATATGCACTCAATAAAGAGTCAGATAGGTTAGCCTTCTTAAACACTCTCAACAAATTTATTTCTTCTTTTTCTGCGCAAGATAGTACGATCAGAATAGGAGGTGATTTCAATTGCAATTTTAATAAAGAAAATGACAAATCAAATAAGAAATTGAATAAAATAGTAAATAAGCTCGACTTAGTCGACGTATGGCGTAATAAAAATCCTGCTAACAATGGTTATACATGGTGTGATGCAGAAAATTGTCCAAAGAGTAGGATAGATTATATTTTTGTAAATAAAGACTTTATAGAACGTGTAAAAAATATTATTGTACGACGAATTCCAGGTACTCACAATAATAGCACACGGTTAAGTGACCACAGATATCTTAAATGTACTTTAAATCTTAGTAAACTAGAAAGAGGTGCAGGTTACTGGAAATTAAATGTATCTCACCTTGAAAATGATGATTACAAACACGGTATAATAGATATATATAACAATATTGATGAAACGCTAGATCCAATTTTGAAATGGGAAACTTTTAAAATAAGTGTTCGTGATTATTCTATTAAATACGCAAAACAATCTAAGCATAATATAAAATATAAAGTAAAACTGCTCGAGGAAAAAATCGATAATATTGAATCATTGTGTAGTTCAGAAATTAATATGAATGAAAAGCGAAAACTAGAGAAAGAATTAGATGTAATGTATGACGAAATTGCTAAAGGAGCTCAAATAAGATCAAAAGCGCAATGGATAAGCGATGGAGAGAGAAATACAAGTTTCTTTCTAGGATTGGGAAAAAAACATCAATCAAATAATACGATAACTGAATTAAAAAAGAATAATAAAACATTTGCTAGTAATAGTGAAATTTTACAAGAAATGTGCCTTTTTTATGAAAACTTATATACAAGCAAATCTGTTGATGATAACAATATTTCGTCTTATTTACAAGACATTGAATGTCCAAAGCTCAATGATCGCGAGCGAAAGTTTTGCGACACATTTCCAACATTTGATGAATGTTCAGATGTGGTTTATAATTTAAAAAGCAACAAATCTCCAGGTTTAGATGGATTATCAGGGGAATTTCATAAATGTTTTTGGAATATAATTGGACCTCTCTTTTACGAAGTATTATTAACTGTATTTGAAAAAGAAGAATTACCATATTCTCAGCGATTGGCACTTATCACCCTTTTATTTAAGAAGGGTGACAAGAATAGTCTTAAAAACTACAGACCATTAAGTTTAACAAACACCGATTACAAGATTATAGCCTTTGTTCTCGCAAAAAAATTACAAAGTGTCATAGATAAATTAATTAGTAAGGAACAATCGGCATATATCAAAGGTCGCTACATAGGTATAAATGCAAGATTAATTTTAGACATTTATGAATATTGTATGGAAAATGAAAGAGATGGATTATTACTATTTTTAGAT